AAAGCTTAAAAATAACTGCTATAGATAGAAACACACAGCTCTACTCTTTCTTCCCAGTAGCTCTTTGTAGTCTCAGAAGGACCACTGAGGCTTTGCAGAGCACACTGACCCATTTCCATCATTGAGCTGTCCCACAGGTGGCACCTACCAGCAACGACCATGTCTGGCCCCTCTCACCCACGTGCATTTGAAGCTTTTTGCCCCTTCACTGAAAAAAACCATAATAAAAGGCTTTGGGAAATCATCTCTTAGACCACATAAATCAGCACCTTCTTCCAGGAAAAGGAAACAGGGAGCAGCAAGTTAGAGACACGATCTGATCCCATGAACTGCAGCTTCTCCTGTGCATGGACGTATTTCTCTTACTTCCACTTCAGCGTATTTGCATGGTCAAAGTTCAGCATGTGTGCGAGTGTTTGGGTAACGAGAGCCACATGGGGTGGGATTTAAATACCGGGAAAGAACATCAATAGCCTGTTCAATATTTAATTGCACCTACTCCGTTTCGCACTCCACTGCAGGTTTTGTTGGTCTCGAAATTAAATGATATTCTGTGTTTTAGACTTTCTGGATCCTCAAAGAATACAGTTTGTCCTTCAAAATACTATCTGAGAGCTTTTTTATCAAGAAGTAAGAGTATTAGTGTGTCTTTAGAACACTCCTAGACCCTATGGTAATGTATGATCTAGTTCCAATGACTCCCTGAGTTATTTAGCACAGTTGCAATGTAATTAATAAAGGGAAATAAAATAATGTATTCAAGGAAATCTCATTAAACCAATGCAGAGCTTTTTAGGGGAAAGACCACCTCCCACAAAGCAAGGCCAGGTTAAAAAATCTTGGAAACATTGCCATGGATGTTAGGAGGGAGCTGGAGGGGCTGTTTCTCATGCATATCCCTCTTTCTTTGTTTTGTTTTTCATCAGTTCATTTTTAAAACCCCTTCCTTCTACATAAACCCTCAGCACGTGTGAGTTGGTTGTTTGGTCACTCGGAAGACCGACCATGGTGGTTGGTCGTGGTGATGTGTCTGACTAATGGAGGTTACATTTCTCTACCTCTCTGCATCTTTGTCTTAGACAAGAAGGGAGGGAAAAGTTCTGACTTCCAGACAGCCATGAAAACTAAATAAACATGCATGTAAATGAGAGGTTATTTGGAAGAGGGATTGTGGATGTTGGCAAGAAGAACAGCACAACTTATGACTTCTCTTTTTTTTTCTTCTCCTCTCCCCCTCCCAATTTTTTTCCTCTTTTTTTCCCCTCTCTCTCTTTAAGGCCAATGGAGATATTTTTTAAGGCAAGAGTTTATTTTTAGACCACATTGTGATGGCAAAATGGGGAAATGACCTTCTCGTTTTGTCAGGAGGCATCATGTGATTGGCAAGTGAGAAGATGTAGCCAAGTGGAACGAGTGCCATCCACGTCTTAGGTCCTGCAGGGAGGTGTCTTGTTTCTGTTGCCTTTGGTAATCTTCTAGAAGGAGAACCTACATCCTCCAAGACTTGAAGGCTTGATATATAGACAGAATTAATGCCCATCCTTTCTTTCACCATCCAACAGCTTTTGTAAAGGAAAACCATGAGCCAAATGTTGATAACAGGCAAAGGCTCAATCGTCAGCATTTTACGATTGAGAGTGGAATTAGAGCCTTCCATGCCAGGGTCAGGAGCACTTGAAAACACTCATCCCAGCTGAGCTGCTTCATTTCAGAGGTGAAATTAATGTAGAACTTTCTCCTCAAGGAAGAGTTATTTACTCGATACCTAAATCCAGGTAAAGCCAGTGCCTTGCAGGAAATGCTGGTGTGTATAAATAAAGCCATGCTCAGCAGCTGTGGGATTGCAGAGGCTTTTGGAGAAAAATGTTGAGTTGCTGTGTTCCTGAGGGACCAGGGCTACGGGCACGTCCAGCTCACTTCAAATACCTGCCGTGTATCTACTTGAAGAAGTCCTTAGTATTAGGTCACAAATGGTAAGTGGTAAGGAGGGGGGTTTTGTGTGTGTTTCTGTTCTTTTACACAGAATAATAATAATAATTTCCCCTTAATCAGGCTCTTTCATGCTTGATCTTTGAAATAGCATCTGCAAGGATTTGAAAATGGAGTTATTCTCCTGTGAGGGCTGTAGCTGCCGCTTCTAAACTGTTTATTTTCTTTTAATTTTGTACTTTGACCAACTTTAACTGGCTTTTCTTTCTCATTTTAACATCTGAGTACTTTCTGAATGTAATCTCCAAAAGGTTTAGTTCTAGCTTTTCTTAAAAATATACATATCCATATACCATCTGGCTCCTGCCCCGTCCCAACTTTCACGCCATTTGAGCCCGGTGGGTGTGATAAGCCACTGCCTCCGGAGCTTCTGTGGTCTGGAAGAGATCCCTGGATCCCTCTGGCAGGTGACCCATCTCACTTCTCATTGAGTGCCTCTCTTCTCCCGTGTCTATAACTCTTAACTTGCATTTTCCCCCCGCTGTTGAGCGTGACTAGGATTTCAGCCCTGGAAAAACCTCTCCGGGTGTTGAGCCAAGGTTTTTTAAAAGCATGTGTTAGTATGTGTGTCCGTCCCTGTGTGTACATGCGTGTGCCTAAGTCCCAGAAAAGGTACATCTATCATTTCCAAAGGCAGTAAAAAGATGCTTGTCGGAGGAACTGATTTATAGCAACTTTTAATGAGATTCTTGTCAGAACCTGGTTTACGGGTGTAAATGCAAATGTCAGGTCGCTATAAATCACAGGGGCAGGGGACAGAGAAAGAAATACTCCACTTCTCCCTAGGAGATAAACCAGCTTCATGGTTAAAGTGGTCTCCTCCTTGATCTGCCAGTTGAGATAAGCTAATACACAGCACCATTAAGTGCCCTCTCCAGCTCTAATTGCCGATTAACTGGAGGGGCAGGGCCCCATCTGTGCAGATGGGAGAGCTTCATCCTCCGGGATGGGACAACTTCCAGCCCCAGGACCCTCACCCTGCTGTGAACCCCCTGAGCTCCCACACAGCCCGTGCCCCTGCTATTCCACTTTTTTATTTGCAGCCTCTGCTTTGAGGGTAGGTCTCTGGGGGGGTTTGCAGGAGGATGCAAGGGAGCTCCCAGGGGGATGCTGAGCAGCTCGGACCCGGTGCCTGCTGTGAACATCTCCTGGCTCTGCCGCAGGGAAATCCCCTTTGCTGGGGGAAAGTCTCTGCAAGCAGCTCAGTTCTTCCTGCATTATGTCAAATGGGGAGATTCCCCATTGTCAGCACAGACAGGCTGTGGCTGAGGACCTTCCCTTGGCTCCCAGGATGCAGTTTGCCACAGGTAGATTCTCTGGTGGCTAACAGCAGTTGTGCTTTCCTCTGCGGTGCCCTTGCCATCGTGCTCTCTCTTTTTTCCCAGCCTCCTATTTTCATGGAGCCTGTGTGAGTTTGTCCAAGGCTGTCACATCTCGGTCAGATCTGGGGGGAAGGTGGCAGCCCAGTTCCAGGGCTTAAAACCTTATTTTCTCTGAACAGTGTAAAGGTGCAGAGAAAAAACAGAGGCTGCGGGGGAGCCAGGCAGCAAACAGGAGGGAAACTGCAGTTCTGAATGTTAAATGTCTGCCCTGTTGTGGTTTTTTTAGACTTGTTTGCTGAACTGTCACCTTCCTGACCAGCAGAAAAAAACCACCAAATCTCAGCAGCTGCTCCCCTGCCATTCCCTTCCCTCCAGCCCAGCCTGAAGAAATGGGGAGCCACACACAAACCTCAGCTCCATCCCTGCTACAGGGCTGGTCCCCAGGAGGACCCTGCAGGACTGCAACCCCTTCCCTGAGCTGCTGGAAGGGACTTTGCCTGCAGGGTCTCAGCCCAGGCTCCTTTCCCTGTGCCCAGTTCACTGCCCTGGAAGACTGTGGATCCCTCCCAAACCCCGGGGCTGCCCTGTCTGTGCTGTTTGATCCCTCGTCTCCATCCCCTGCCAGGCTTTTCCTTTCAAGGAGGGCTGGGGAGAGGGTCAGGGAAGGCCAGATGGTACTTCTCTGCTTTTGTGCCTTACAGCGTGCAGCTTTTTTTCCAAAACCAGTAGCATAGGCAGCTAGTAAAACCTATTAAAGATGCTGTTGGATGTAAAAGCTGGCTCTTTTTTTTTTGTCCGGAGTCATAAAAGCTCTTAAAAAGATCCAAACCGGAAAAGACAGGCACCTAATAGTGAAAACAAGGAAAGGGGAATAAAACTGGCACAAGGGCCCCGAATTTTTTCCATGACTGATTTGAGCATTGCGAGCCACTGGCACGGAAAAGCAGCACCCGCAGCCCCACAATAGCCATAAATCCCAGGAGAGGAGGGGATGGTCCAGCAGCCCCAGTGCCGGGGCCAGTCCCAGCATCGGGCATCCTGGCACTGCCTCTTTAGCAACCAGAGCAACCAGCACAACAATCGAGCTGGGATTGGGAACCCAGAGCAGTAGTTAATTAAGCCTGCATCTTTTATTCTCTGGAGGCAATTCAGCCCGGTTTGAATGAGCTGGAGTGCTAGGACCTGGTGGGAATGTCTCTCCCGGGGCAGGAGAATCCAGTCTCATGGGCTGCTCCATTAGCATAACAATCTTGCCCAGGATGCTCTTGGCTGATGTAATGCCAAGAGGGAGGGAGGGGAGATGAAAGTTTTTTTTTCCCCCTGTGCAGGAGCTGGGAGCAATCGCCGCTGACTGGGGCTGTGTCAGTGCATGAAATTTCTTTTCTTTCTCTCTCTCTCTCTCCCCGTATGGGATGTTTGCTAATTGAAGCAGTTCTGGAAAACAGTGAGTTGTTAGAGTCCCATCCCCCACCGGCTCTTATAAATTCACATTATTCTGACTTACTGGCAAAGCAGGAGCCTTTTCTGCTCCTTAGAAAGTGGCCTCTGATTATTTGCATTTCCCTGTGGGACCACTGGAGAAGGGGAGCACAATTTGTTGGGATGGGCAAGTGGGAGGAGAGGGGACCTCTGCTGCCCTCATCTCAGATATTGTTGACAGCTAGGGTATTTGCATGGGGAACCAAAAGAATCTAATTTCCCATTTTCTCCCTGTTCCCCAGGTGGAAGCATTTGCCCCAGGATGGTTCTGCCTTCAGTGCTGTTCTCTCCAAGAGTGAGCATCCAAATCCTTGCAGTGTCAAAGGCCTCACCCTGGGGAATTCTGAGTGTCTAGGAACTCCCATATGATGAAGGTAAGGACTTCTCTTGCCTCATATGTTAGTAGACACCAAGAAACGTGCTGTTTTAGTGGGGTTTTGCAGAGATCACCCACAGGGGAATGGAGCACAGGTAGCTCATGTTGACATGAATGTGTAATCATGGAGTTACAGCCTTCTGTGTGTTGAATGATTTAGTCTGTGTGTCAGTACTGGAAAAGCCCCTACCCATGAAGATAACTTTTTTTTTTTTTTTCCTGGGTAAACCATCTATTGTAGCAAAGAGAAGCAATGAGTTTCCATCAGGTTCCTGCTGCTCCGTCCCCCCACCCCATCCTGCTCCTGGTTGTTTTAGTGTGGCTCTAGACCAGGAGTGTCCCTGCCCTATATGGAGGTGCTGGCCTAGTTCTTGTAGCTTCTGGACACTAGAGGCCTCTAGACACTCTGCTATGATTAATGCTGGTGTAATTAACGTTCACGTGGAGCAAAATCAGCATTCAGCTGATTTTTCTCTCCTCTCCAAATGTTGTCCATTAACATCAGTGCAATATCTAATAGGGGACGTGGTGAGCAGGCAGGGGACAGGAGAACAGGAGCTGGGGGAGCTGGTTCTGCAGAGATGGGGGTTAATGTCTCTCTCTCAACCATCCACACGTGTACGAGCACACACAGGCTTCGTCTGGGGGCTGGCTACGTCTTTGGACACAAATCAAAAATGTGCTTTAAGAAAAAGTTATGAAACATGAAAATGAGTGGTTTATATCTGTGTTATAGCAAAAAAAAAAAAAAAAATTAAAAGTAAATTTTCAGGCACTGGAATTTAATAATCTCTTTCATGGAGCAGTCCCTTGCACAGTTTTTGCTCAAGTCACCTAAGACTCTCAAAAAAAAAAAAAAAAAATTAAAACCTGGGCTGGCCCACCCAGTGTTGCATTTCTGTCCTCAGACTCCACCAGCCCACACATCTTGAAGGCAAAGGACTTTGGGGATGGTGCTGCCCAGAGCAGGCTGGGGAGGAGCCCTCTCCACTGCTTTCCAGGCTCTTCTCCTGGAGACTTCAGGCTGGTTCCCTTATAGGCAGGAAAAGATTTCCCTCCTTTGTATTTTTGAGGAAACCCTTCATGCTGCTGCCTGCCTGGACTGGGGGATCTGCTCCAAAAGGCAGTTTGCTGTCCCAGCATTGTCCAATCCTGGGTTTTCTTCTAGTTTTTCCTTTTCCCTCCCCCAGCATCTGATGAGTCTGGCTCGGACACGCAGGACACTTGCTTACGGAGCATTTCTCCAAGGGCTGAGGCTCCTGCTGGGAGCAATCAGTCTGTTAAAACCTTGAGCCATCCAGATTGCCTGGCAATGATCCCTGTGTTACCCAACTTGCAAGAAGCAACATGTTTTCTGAAAGTGCTGTCCTACTGAGATCCCAAGCTTGTGTAGGACCCATCTGGGTAGCTTTTTGTACAGCAGCTATTCCAGTCACAGATGAATTTTTCAGCTTCCATTCAATGTGCTGTCCCAGAACAACCCATTCTCGGTGTGTTCAGAGTTACACAACCGATGACAAAGTGTGGGACAATGTGGGAAGTCCCAGAGAACACCAGAGTGTCCTGGTTAAATGTGCCATATTAGCGATACCCCAGCAAACAGAGCCACCAAGTTGGAGTAAGCGGCCTGGTAAACTGAGGCACTGATTTAGGACAAGAATTTAATGGTCTTTTGGTGTCTAAAAATGTGCCTGAGGTGCATCCCTACGTGAGGGATGAGCCCCTGTCTCGGGCAGACCCTCTCCACAAGGTGGGAGGTGAAGATCCGAGGGACATCCCCCCTCTGACAGCCCTGATGGAAACCACACTGCTGCCACCCTCGGCCCCCATGTCCAGAGAGGCTGTAAATGCTGGTTCCTGATAATTGTCACGATCAGTGGGCAACACACTCATCCTGAAGGGGTGTTTCCCGTTGCTTTAGCAGAAATTGGGGTACAGTTTGGCTGCTGGTACCCTGAGAGGATGAAGCGTGGCAGCAAGGCACTGAGCTGCTCCTAAAGGCACTGCCCTGCTCCTTTAAGTAGTAGCCAGAAGCTTTCTAAATATTATCATCTTACCAAAAGAAGAGGGGGAGGGAAAAAAAAAGAAAGTGTTTTGGCATGAGAACAATTTCTCCATTACCTCAATTAGTTCAAATGATCTGGAAAGGTTCTCTCTGGAGAAATCAAGCTAAACCTCAGCCAGCAAAGGGGCTGGTGGCTGGTTGTTGCTGTAGGTGTTGATATGAGCATTAGTCAGCAATGTAGATTGCAGTGAAGTCAGTCAATATTGCTGTCGCTGCTGTCTGGCTACAGCCATAAATTAATTAATTATATCACTGCAGTAATTGAGGGCCTCATTCTCTCTAGGATTCTGACTCTGGCACCTCCCTGCCTGTTCCTCAGGCTGTCCATCAATTCGGTGAGGTCTGGGTTTTACTGAGATCATTATTTCCTGAAATACTCTAAAGACTCTCCATAAAAAGGAAAGGGTGTTGTTTTTTTTTTTACCCATCTTCATCCTTTTCCCTGTTGCCTGTGGAGGAGGGAGAGAAGCAAGGTCAGGAAAGAAACAGAAGAACAAGGCTGGGATTTCCAGTTCCAGCAGTTTGAGGTTGTCCCTTTGCAAACAGGAATCAAAAGTATCCTCTGAGTCCCTGAAGCAGCAGTAGGGTCCTATGCAGAGGCAGATTAATCACTCTCCATGCTCCAAACCAGGTCTGGTCCTACAGTAGGGTTGAAACAAACCCAAACACTGTGTTGGAGGAAGATGGAGATAACCAAATAGGCTGAGAAAATTCACGGGCTGGCTCCCTCGCTGGTGTAAATCAGCGTCCCTGCACTGGCTGTGGTGGAGCAATGCCAAATTCCACCAGCTGAGGGTCTGGATTGCATATTCTACCTATAAAAATGGTGTTTAGGATATCTTGGCAAAAGTAGTTATTTTTGCAACCCACTTCTAACTGGGCAGTGCTGCGTAGGGATGAAATCCAGTTACACTGGTGAAAAAGAACCCCCACTAATCAGGCTAAAAAAAAACCCTACCTCGTGAGCCTGTGGAGCAGAGCTATTTCAGCTCTGCCCTTGTAAGACTGCTTTGTTACAAGGAACCTGCTAAAAGTTGTCAGCTGCACGGGGATTGACATCGACCCGCCGTGATTGAGAGGGAGGAGCAGCCTGATTTCCAGCACTTGTTACTAATTGCGAGCTTCCCAGCATGCCATGTTATGATTGGAAGTCCCTGCTCTGGAGGTAAGCAAGAGTGGAAAAATTTTTGGCTTTTCCCATAAAAATCAGGCTTATTTCTGGTCTTCATGATTATTCATAATGGTCCCAAAAATCTGAATTCTTCATCCAAGGCTCACAAAGGTGCAGGTTAATGAAGAGCATCAGGTGTGCAAGCTCAGAGGATTCATTGCTCTGGTGTGAAAAATCTTCTGTTGACTATTGATCGTTAAGGTCCCTTCCAACCCAAACCCTTCTCTGGTGCTATGAAAAATATCACTTACACTGCATTTGTTTTCTCATAGAAGTGGGTGGTTTTCAGCTTGCCTCTGAATGCGTAGTGTTGCTTAGGGTTGATGTTACCAGTGAATACAGCTGGTCATTTTTGAGTAGGGTTTTTTTAATTTAAAAAAAAATCAAGCCACTGTTTGAAATCACTGTTTTCATGTGTAGAGGAACATGGCAGATGTTCAAGGGAGCCTTGTTTGAGGTGCAGTTGGAACTGGGCACATCTGGGGCTGGAAGTGAAGGTTTTCATTGTGTCTGGTGGACAAGTATAAAAATCTTTGCTGGATTCCCTTGAGTCAAAGCCTCGCTTTTTCACAGATGAACTAGTCTGAGAGGAGACCTGTCCCCTTCCCCTGCTTCTACACCCTGGTCCCCATTTTGCAGTGAGTCACGGTGTGATTTTTCAGAAAATAGACCTTCAAGGTGTACAACACTATAGGAAGCCCTAGGAGCTATGGAATATTTTTTTGTAGGCTTATAAACTTCTCAATTAGTGCTGTAAAGGAAGAAAATGCTCTTATTCTGGACATTGCCCAAGGTGTAATGCATTTCTGCCACTGAAGCGAGAAGTACTTGTAGCATTTGACTGATTTAGGAGGCAAGGGAAGGCACAGTGTTTTGTACCTGAAATCCAGGGAAATTGTAACCAGCCATTTCTGTAGAACATTCCCTACAGAAAGGAGGCGAAGAGGGTTGTTTTGGTTTTTTTTCATAGGATTCTGCAAAACGTCACTAAATACTTCAGGATAGCAACTGAGTATTGCTGACCTGCAGAGAGAGGGGAGGGAGGAAGGACACAAGGCATCACGTGGAGATTTGGGAGCTGGTTGTAGGGGCTGTGTGAATGGTGAATGTGTGGGGACTGGTCCCAGTCGTGGACAGTGGGAATGCCACCCTCCCAGCACATCCCTGCATGTGCAGCATCACTCGCCTGCGTGTGCCTCAGGGACCCTTGGGCTTTGGAAACCTCCTCACCTTGGCAGGAATCACAGCTCCAGCGTGGATGGACCTGTGCTGGGGGGTGGTTTTGGGACCCCTCATTGAGTGCTCTTATTAAACTCTGAGGAGGGCTTTCTGGCTCTGCTCAGCCAGATGGTTTTTGGCACAGCCACCAGAAGGGAAGGGAGCATCCTGCTGACACCAGCCTTTTGAAGTCCCTTTTCCTCCCCTGGGATCCCTGTTCCTCTGCCTGGGAGGCTTTTCCCCCAGCTATTTTCTATTTTTCAGCTCTTTTTAACTGCTGGGTGAAGCAGGAGGGAGGCAGAGCCAGCAAGGATGACTCCAGGGCATAAGACACATTCCTCCAGGTTAGCTGGTGTTTCCAGGCCTTTCAGTGAAAAGCCTCAATTAGCCAGTAATCAGCCAAGCATGGCAGACCTGAAGCAATAAGTGCTGCTTCAGGCTCCAGGGCCAAAGGCTAAAATCTGCTCAAGGAGCTAAATTAATCATCTAATTGGGATTTCTGTCCATTCTCATCCTGCTGTGGGTGCTCACAAGAATGAGATCA